AACCCAGCCACACCTCAGCTGCTGGTGAGCGCTTCCAGGTCCTTAGGGCCAGGAAAGCACAAGATCCTCACGGATTTGGGGGTTTTAGGCTTGTTGGAGCGGGGCGGTTCTGGGGGAGGTGTCGCTCCCTGGGCTGCAGGAGAAGGCTCTGTGGGGTGAAGGTGCAGCCTGGGGAAGAGCCTGAGGTCCCACCAGTCTGGTCCCCACCGCCCCTGGGATCGACAGGGCGAGACTGGGGCGAGGGAAAGTGTCAGGGAGTAGAAGCGGTGACAAGCCTGCTGCGAAGCAAGGCAGTAATCCTTGTACAAATGAACCGAGTTTCCCAGGCCTCAGCCTCCGTCCAAGAAAATGCAATTTTTTCTGAGGCGGTCCAGGCCGCAGGGACACCTCTGCCACGCCCTTTGAGCAACAACCACTTTCATAGAGTCACAGGATCATTTAGGTTGGAAAAGACCTTTAAGATCGAGTCCAACCATTAAGCCAGCACTGCCAAGTCCACCACTAAACCATGTCCCTAAACACCACATCTCACGTCTTCTAAATATCTCCAGGGATGGGGACTCAGCCACTTCCCTGGGCAGCCTGTTCCAGTGGTTGACAGCCCTTTCAGTGAAGAACTTTTTCCTAATATCCAATCTAAACCTCCCCCGGCACAACTTGAGGCCGAAGTTACAAGAGAGGCTAAAATCAGCACAGCCCCCCACGCCACTTATTTTGTTGAAAGCTGGCTCAGCCGGATGTACTGGAGAGGCCCCCTCGCCCTCCTCTTCTCCAGACTGAACCCCCCCAGCTCCCTCAGCCGCTCCTCATCAGACTTGTGCTCCAGACCCCTCCCCAGCTCCGTTTCTCTTCTTTGGATGCGAAGTTTGCACCAGTATAGCCCAGAGTCCAAGAACAACTGTGACCAGCCCATGCGAGACATCCCCTTCTCAGCCCAGCCCATCTTTACTCCTGCTTCGCGTCGTGCGGCGGACAGCCGTGCCCCGTGCTGCCGGCAGCTCTGGGGACACGGGGACCAGCGCTCCAACGGGCAGCTCCCACAGGGCGAGACGTCAGCCCTGGGCTCGGCTCGCCGGTGCCTCTCGTTCCTGCTGGGTTTTGATGCACCCGTGGTAGTTTGGTTTCTAAAAGCTTTTACCGAGGAGCTTTTGAAGGCCAGATAACGTTATACTGAGGACTGCGTGGGTATTTGCGGGGCCGGGGTGCACCTCCCCGTGGAGCAGCGAGGGCAGGGGCTGCACAGTGACACCTCTCGCCCTCCACACCTTGGAGATGCCCTCAGTCTCTGGGATTTGCGGGAGAGGTTTGGCAGAGGTGCATGGTGTGCTGGGGATTTCTGGAGCCCTGCGGGGCACCCCACGTGTGACCCTGTGTGGGATGGGATACGCGATACGGGACAACCCCACCTGGAGCACCCTGTGTGGGGCACCCTGCGTGGGGCACAGTATGTGGGGCATCCCACATGGGGCACGGCATGTGGGGTATGCTGTGAGGGACCAGCTGGGCACGGCGGGGCTCACCCTGGCTCTCACCTCGCAGGTCTGGTTCCAGAACCGACGAG